AACTCAAGCATGACAACAGCTGTGAGGAGAGTGCAGGACTGGGCACTGTTTTGTTCTGCTGTGCACAGGATTGCTATGAGTTAGAACTGATTCAACAACACCTAACAACAACAGGATAGATTTAATGTTCACTGTTAATTAGAGAAGAAGCAGAATCTCAAATGATTCTAAGAAAAATATCCAATTATTCAATTGTGAGGATGAAATACAAGAATTCTACCAATTTCTTCAATATGAAATTGATCAAATGTGCAATCAGGATGTATTGATCATTACTGGTGATTGGAATGCAAAGGATGCAAACAAAGAGGAAGGATCAGTAGTTGGAAAATATGGCCTTAAAGAATGAGCAGTTTCATTTTCATGATGAGAAAAAAACTCCTCAGCACAACTTTCCTGGCACTTTTTTCATAATGTAGTTTTTAATTTTCTTGAAACTTCTTCCTAATAAGCCCCCTTGATTGTTCTGTGTCAACCAAGAAAATCTATCAAGGTTATCCCTTAGGAATTCCAAAACACAGTTGCCCAAACCTTCTGAGTTGTCCTCTGCCTTGAAATGATCTGGACTAACAGCTCCCCTCAGAAGTCACTGCTTTGATTGGGCCTTTCTGAAGGCATCCTAATGAGAATAAGAAGTATATTAGTGACATAACTTGTCGGCAGTCACTCACTGATCACATGTTTTAAAATGTTTTGTTTTTGCACAGTAAATTCATGTATGTAAGAACTGGAACCTTAGTAGCAGTGCTTTTTGACTTGTATTTGAGTACAAGGCACTGTGCTAGATCTTATCAGTATTTCCAAGACAAAAACAAGTACATAAAGTTGCTAAGGAGCAGTGGACCACAGATGGTAGATGCTGATTAGCAGAGGTGCATTTGATTTTCTCTCACAACCTTAGTACACAGCAAAATAGAGTAGTGAAGAAGGAAGGTATATGTGACTGGGCATGTAGCTCTGTCTGGTGGGGTCACCACACAGCGCTGTAGAGAAAAAGGAGGAGCTCTTGAATCAACACAACTCTTGTACTTTACAACTTCAACTCCATTCCAAATGGAGTTTCCTGATGGCCTCTCTGTTGCCATGAGGAAATGTCACCAAAATGCCACTTGTGAAAGAAGTGGGTGGACTGAGGTAAAGTACCACTCTGTGATTTTACTGGAAAACAGAGCCATATGAGTTGGAAGTGAAACCTTGCAAATGCTGATCTCTACCTATCGGTTAAGGTGGAAAATACCCTAGTAACCCAGGATCTAGAAGAGATTCTTGCTACCTTAACCACAAAATTCATTATTATAAGTCAGCTCTTTCATGGGAGGAGGTGGAGTGTGAGATCTTTTTGGTAGTTTGAGAAAATGACTTTCTCTAGTTTTTTGTTGTGTTTTTTTTTTTAACTCATAAGTGTACTTTTTAGTTCATTGTAAATTGTGTTGCTGTTTCCCTTTCCAATTTGCCTGTACTTTTACTAGCTCATGCTTTGAATTTTCAGAGGAGAATATCTATTTGCCTTCACATCTTTTATGTCTCTTTTAAACACAATTAAATCCCATTAGCCTGGATGCCATCAATTCAGAATTTGGGTTAAATTAGTCTGAGTTTTGAGACAAACAATTTTTAAATTTAATACAACTTGTAAACTCTGGGTGGTGGAAATAGTTATTGCAGTCAACTACTAAATGAAAAGTTGGAGGTGTGAGTCCACCCAGAGATGCCCCAGTAGAAAGAACTGGTGATCTGCTTCCAAAACACCCACCATTAGATCCTAGGAGGCACAATTTTACTCTAACATACATGGGGATTGCCATGGGATGGAATCAACTTAACAAGAACTAGTTCTGGTATTAATTGTGAAGAGATGATGCAAGAAAAGTGTATTTCTAGTCATCAGTTAAAATAATCATTCAACAAATATTTATAGATAACTTACTATGTGCCAGGCTCCATTCTAGACTTAAAAGATAGAGCTGTGAGCTACACAAAAATCCTTGCCTTCATTGAGCTTACATTCTACTACTGCAAAATGAATGAGTGAATTAACTGCTAGCTCTGGTACCCTAGTGGTTACGAATCAGACTGCCAGCCTCAGTGTCAGCAGTCCGAAACTTCCAGCTGTTCCGTGGGAGAAAGATGAGGTTTTCTGCTCCCATGAAGATTTACAGCCTCGGAAACCCTGTACAGGGTCGCTATGAGTCAGAACTGACTTCATGGCACATACAACAATAGCAACATATATATACATAAGGAGCTCTTGGTAGCATAGTGGCTATGAATCGGGCTGCAAACCGCAAGGTCAGCAGTTCGAAGTTACTAGCTGGTCTGTGGGAGAAAGATGAGGCTTTCTGCTCCGGTAAAGATTTACAGCCTCGGAAACCCTGTACAAGATCGCTATGAGTCCGAACCAACTCCACGGCCCATAACAACAACAACAACAACAAAATATATAAAGGAATGGCAACTTGGAGAGATTGAGTAAGTTGCCTAAACACTAGAAGGAGGGTAGAAGCAGGATTAAAACTGATGTCCTTTTAAGACTGTGCTGTGCTGCATAGACATTAGCACCGTGTTACATAACAATGATAAACCCAAAAACAAACCAGATGCCGTTCAGTCAATTATGACTCATGGCAAACCCACGTGTGTCAGAGTGGAAATACACTCCATAGAGTTTTCAAGACCGTGGTTTTTCAGAGGCATATCTCCAAGTCTTTCTCCCAAGGGGCACTTAAGTGTGTTTGAACCTCAACCTTTTAGTTAAGACTCAAGCACTTCAATGTTTGCACCACCTAAGGACTCTAGTAATGATCAGAAGGACAGAAATAATACAGAATGCTTTGCATCACAAGATGAATCATTAAGACCTCAAAGTAGCTTCACTGGTTATAATTAAGAAGTTGGAGATCATTAGGGTATATGTTTCATGGTTTGAAGCTAATATCTTGGATCTGTGCTGGATATAGAACAATGATTGAATTAAAGTGCAATGGCTTTTTGTTAAACTGCTGAAAGGAACCTACCTCTTTACACGCACTGTGTATTTTGTATCTAAGTAGGTGGGCTTTCCAATATTCCATGTACAAGTCATATTGCCTGAATATTCATGAATGACACAGGTTACATTAGCAGGAACATCTGGTGGATCTGAAACAATATTTATCACTTAGGAATTGCAAAAAATGAACACTGCCTCCCCCACCACCACCCCAAAAGAACCTATAAACGTCTTTACAAAATATTTAGTAGTCAATATATTTTGGGACCAATCATCTATAAAGGAGCTCTGGTAGCATAGTGGTTACAGATCGGGCTGCGAACTGCAAGGTCAGCAATTCGAAATTATCAGCTGTTCCTTGGGAGAAAGATGAGGCTTTCTGCTCCCGTAAAGATTTACAGCCTCTGAAACCCTGTGCAGGGTTGCTGAGTTGGAACTGACTCCACAGCACAGAACAACAACAACTCATCTATAGGAGTCCCGGTGTGACACTGTGGGTTAATCCACTAGACTGCAAAGTCAGCTTGAACCTCAAGGTCAGTGGTTCAAGCTCACTAGCTGCTTCTTAGAAACTCTATAAAGGGTTACTAAGGGTCAGAACCAACTCTAAGGCACTTAATAACAACAACAACTCATCTATCAATTTGTTGTATCGTGGTGGTATGCCTGTTGCTATGATGCTGGAGGAGTCCTGGTGTGTGGCTGTAGGATAAGCACAGGACAGCTAACCGCAAGATCAGTGGTTCAAAAACACCAGTTGCTCCTTGGAAAGCCTATACAGGGTCCCCATGAATTGGAACTGACTCAGTTGCATGTAACAATAGCAACAGCATGATGCTTATAGCTATGCCCTCAGTTTCTCAAATACCAGCAAGGTTACTTTGGTGGACAGGTTTCAGTGGAGCTTCCAGAGCAAACCAGAGTAGGAAGAAAGGCCTGATGAGCTGCTTCTGAAATTTAGTCAAATGAAAAACCACAATAGAATACTTTCTGGTATAGTGCTAGAAGATGAATCTTTTACTTTGGAAGGCATTCAAAATATGCAAAAACTGTAACAATGGACTTGAACATACCAATAATCAAGAATACAATGCAGAACCAGGCAACATTATACATACACGGAGCTCTGGTGTGGTGCTGTGGGTTAATGTGCCAGACTGCAAAGCAGTTTGAACTGCAAGGTCGGTAGTTCAAGCTCACCAGCTGCTCCTCGGAAACCCTATACAGGGTCACTATGAGTCGGAACTGACTCAATGACACTTAAAAACAACAACAATATGCTATGTAGTGTTAAACACATGGTCACTATAAAGGAGCTCTGGTAGCATAGTGGTTACGGATTGGGCTGTGAACCACAAGGTCAGCAGTTCGAAACTACCAGCTGTTCCGCAGGAGAAAGATGAGGCTTTCTGCTCCCGTAAAGATTTACAGCCTC